AACTTACAACTAATGTACATTTTTTTCTCCATTTCCAGTGATGCCACCGAGGATCTGATTCGGAGTGACTTTTCGAGCAGCAAAATTTTCATTTTGGAGCACTTCGGAGAAGCAAAAGTTTCTATTTTAGAGCACATTGGACCAGAAGAAATTTTATCTTGGAACACTTTGGAGCAGCAAAATTTTCTGTTTTGGAGTACTTTGGAGCGGTAAACTTTTCCACTTTGGAGCAATCATGCGCAGCTAACTTCACATCCTGGAGGAGAAGCAAGTTGCATTTACATTCAAGGGCATGAATAATTATTTTGGGGCTCCTGCCTCCAGTGAAGAGTTGGAAATATTTTCATTCATTTCAAATCTCATGAAGCCAGTCATCTTAGGAGCCCTCCCTATTTTAGTTAATGCAAAATTAATGACATCTTTATGTTGGCCATTCTGAAAAAAAACTTGTTTAATGATTATTTTCATTGCAAGTAAACATGATTCCAGTTGAATAAAATTGTACTTCATGAAATAACATTCTATACACCTTGTAGGGGAGCATGTGCGCCCAGCCTCCTTTTTTCTCTTTTACAGCAGCGCGAAAGCCTAGTTGCGGGGACATGACTGTCCCTTTTAGAGTCAATAAAGCCTCTTGCGAAGGGATGAAACACCCGCACGGTCGGCGCTCGCGATTCCCTCTTTCCCAGCGCTCAGAACGAGTTTCACTACCTCAGCGAAGGAACAAACCTTCGTCAGGAAGAGGGAAACCGAGTCAGTGAACAAAACTAGCATGCGAATGGCCGCGCGAGCTCTCTGACACCGGCCTAGGAAGAAGGAGGTTGAACCCGCAATCCCCCTGTGAGCCGAGGACGACAACGACCAAGGCGTAAGCGTCTACCCTTGTTTTTTGTAGTATCTCTTTGCGACACTCACACGCTATTGCTAATGCATAGCAATAAAGTGTTGCTTTTTTACCTAGCCTGTTGCCTTATTCGCCCGAACCAGTGTAGCTGCGATGAGACGAGCTACGGATAGGGGACATTAATTGTGCACGGTACGAATGTGTGCAGCTAGAACATTAGCTATAGGCTTCTCATCAGCCGTACATAGGATGAACGCCCTACAACCAATTTGGTTATCAGTATATATGGTAGACAATTGCTGTGACGTACAATACTAGAGACACACACAGTCGCACCCGCATTTGCCTTAGACGACTCCAAGGTAAAAAAAGGTTCTTTTTCTTCACAACCGATTATACTGCTAGGCTTAACATGACGTCAATTAGCTAGTCTCATAAAGCCGACCTCCTCCGGCACTCATCTCTCTGTGCTGTAACTACACGATTCACAAACTTCGTTTTCCATTTGCAGCGATGTTTTATGTGGCTAGGGCATTCTGTCTATACTCTGAAATCCCCCCGTAGTGTTCTAGAAAGCAGTGCATAAAGAAAAAAGTACCTCACAGGTACCTTAAGCATACGCCTAAGATGACCAGAAGGCGAGAGCCATTTTCTTTTAATTGGACATTCTCGACCGGTCTTTGCCATCGCCAGAGGCATAGGTAAAATGTTTTTATATTATTTTGGGGGAAGGGGAGAAGTGCACCTCGATCTGAGGGGAGGGGGGGTAATATTGAGATATATATATGGCATGGGCAAAAAATATTTCGGGGGGGGGGGGGGGGGGGGCGATAGGCACGTTACAGTACCCTCCTCCCACCTGCCTATGCCACTGGCCTTCGCCGTCCCAATATCCTAATCAATAACATCCCCTCACGCATCGTGTGTTTTACAAGCGGGCAAAAGCATGCGAGCAGGGGTAATGAAGGCAGCTAAAGCAGAGGTAAAAGAAGTCACAGTTTCGCCGCAAGGGCGAAGTAATGAATGCGATGGCAACAGCTTGGAAACTAATGTTGAGAACGGCAAGAAGATGGAAATGTGAAGTGCGCTGCTTGCACACAGATGACGCACGAAAAAACATACACAGGAGGAGAGCGAACTAACAACGCTTACCACTCAACACAAAACAAAAACGAAGCACGAAACACAGTCACGAGTACAGATAAGCTCCAATTAACAAGTGTCCCAGTTGTTATACTTCACTCTGTCTGAAAAGCGCGCTCTTTTCACAAACAGGGCCTGTGCAGCCAGCAAAGCGACCTTTGTGTTGGGTCCGGCAACTAACCAACTAACGCAATTGTCCCGATGAAAGCCGAGATACACGATTCTTCCTACCGAAGAATAGGCATGCGTGCACAAAGCATCTACCCCCCCCCCCCCATTCGTGGGGCAAGGTATGCGTGGGAGATAAGCGCGTGTCGGCGCATCGTGACGAGCTGGGAGCCGAGCGCAGGCGTCTTTTTTTTTATTTCTCGAGTTTTCATATATATAAATACGTATACATATACGATGAATGACAGCAGAAAACAAGCCGAGACTGTCCATATAATTGCCATCGCAATAAAAGAGCCGACCTACCTTCTTTGCATAGAGTGCATATGCGATAGCATCACCCTGTGTGCCAGGCCTGCCATCGATTGTTACTAAAGCAGAGAGGAACCCGCCACCCATCTTCAAAAAGCAGAAAGGAACTAGGAATGAAGGGGGGGGGGGGGAGTTGTTGTGAACTTAGGGTGAGATCACTGGCACTCACGCTAATTCGGCAGGCATTAAAGATGGCTGTTATACCCTTCTATCTTCTACTCTCAATGCAAACAGACTTTTGTATAACATTCATTGCTAAGAGCCTGAGTGAAACTAAAACAAATAGTATCTTTTGGACACGACGGCGCGTAACTTAGATGAACGGTGGCTAAAGGGACAATGATCACTCTGATGGCTGAAGCGGTAGCACTGTCAGATATTTAGACGAGAAGCACAGGTTATAGTAGCACAAAAAGTTTAGGAGCATGTCTCATTGGGCCTCGAGATAGCGCGCTCGTGAATGCGCCCTTCAAGCGACGCAGCTTCAGCCCTATCCCCCTCCCACTGCTGTCCCCCCCCACCCCAAAGTAGAAGCAATGAATGCGATAACGTGATGCTAAATTTTTTAACCGTCAAATCGATCTTGGAGAGCAAAAGGCGGACGTGTAACAAGTGGTAGCCGCTCCACCTTGGGCTTTCCTACCTCAGAGCCGGCAGTGATAGTCTCCTTATTGAAAGCAGCACGTATTAAAACTGTACTCCAACTGCTCCGATTAAGAATCATGCTTTTAATAATAAGAAGACATTAAAAAAAAAGCATGCGAAAATTTTGAATATGGACCCTAATAATCTCAAGTTCAGAATGGCAGAGTGTTTTAGGAGCTTTTACCGCAACAGCGTTTACAAACATGAATGTGCTGGTGGAAGAAATTATCAGAGTACCCTCAGTGCCAAAAAGCATTACAGAGGGGGAGAGGGGGTTACACAATACATAGTTGATAATGAATACACATTTACAGGTTTTGTTGATAACAATGTATCGAGCATTGGGCTCCACACTCAAGAGTTTATGATGGCAGCAAAATTAAAGGGCACGTAACGTCATTACAAGGAGTAGAAGGCAGAGTTAGAGGTGACGATGGCAACATCATTAGTAAAATGATTACATTGCAAAATTGTGTGGGGAAAAAATGTGTTCCTAAACGACTTAGTTCGGCACTTGTATTCTGTAACTTTGTTAGAAGGGTCAAGTCGTGTTGAGATGTAATGCAGTCGAAATATGCACTTATCTCTATCTATACCTGTTTTGGAATGAAAAATGTCTAAACAATTTTAATCTCAACTTTTTCCTCAACATTTCCATAGTTTCCCCACCTAAACTTTCTCCTGCAAGGGGCATGTTGAATTGCCATCTATAATTATTGAGAGCAACCCTTACGGATAAATTTTGTACCTTTTCTATGCCTTGATGTCTTGTTTTAACCACGGATCCCAAGTTGAACAAGCATACTCGATTATAGGCCCGACGTTCATTTGATACAGTAGTTGCTTTGTTTCTACCAGGAAGTGTTTTGCATTCCTACACAAGAAGCCCAACACTTCACAGGCTTTATACTGTTATATATCGAATATGAATGAAGATTCATGAATAAGGTATATTAAACGAAAGGTGTCAACGCGTTTCCACCGCGCATGTGTTCTTCTGTGAGCGCAAAGCACGGGAAATTAGAAAGCGATATCAAAAAGTCCACCGACAAATCATCGCCAGTTTCATGCACTGATTGGACTAGATGTCACGAGCCCCTGCGTAGAGCGTGCTTCACCATTAGGCGAACTTGCACAACCGAAGTTGCGTCCGCACCATACATAGCATCGTGAATTACTTAGGACGCACGCGCGACCGCTGTTAATTCAGCAGAATAATTTTAGGGACGCGATTGTGACTTTAGTGGCCCGAGAAAAAGATCCACAGGTTTTGACGAGCCAGCGTGGCTACTGCCGGTGATAGACGCTCCCAAATCCGACTTTGGAGCAGTTTGGTGCAATTTTCGTTGATATTATCAGGATGGTGCAGTAAATCTGATTTGGCACACTTTGACGCAGTTGGCGCAGCAGTGGAACCACTGAATTTCGAATGCTTCAAAATGTCAAATTTGAATTTCCATCAAAGCAAACTTGAATATGTAACCATTCATTAAAATATTTGAAGTGCTTGAACATTTTCACAGTTCACTGTGAATGCTAAAAGCATTGTGCATTGTTCAGCATCTACTGTCCTACTTTGCACACTTTTTCTTTCCACTATTCAGAGCCATTCCACTATTCAAAGCACCAAAAACCGTTTGGGAGCAGTTTTGGCAAAATGCATTTTGGAGCAGGATGGTGCAAATGGTGCAGCACTTCAACCCGTGTCTCCTGCTATCGACTAATCGATAGCAGGAGACTGTTCTCGTTATCAGAATACAGTGTGTGCCTTGCATATTCATTAACTGGGCAGAAGTTCGCCCAAATAAAACGTCCTGCCTTCTTCACCGTCACTACCACATGACAATATATTATGCATCAGAACGCAGCCAAAGAAGATGAAACGCACCTTAAAATGGTTCTGGGGCTTGCCAGGTGTAACTGCCAAAACCACAGCTTGTTGTCCAACACGTGTCGTGTACTCATCAATGGTTGCCTTCAGCTTCCTGCAGCGACAATACACATGCAAACACTCACTGGCACAACAATAGCAAGGAGAGTACCACTTTGCTTCACATATGTTGACGACAGGAAACAAATGCATGAGCAGTGCTGCACTTGTCAGAAGGCACTGAGGACTAATATGGTGATGTAAAGAAGCAAATGATTGGAGGCAATGCAAAGCATTAGGGGCAAACAAGTATATAAGTTGGCGCGAATAGGCCGCATGCATGCTTCCGAGAATGCGTCGACTGTGTCTATAATTTTGTCACTTGATGACGACTTACCTTGACATTCGAGCGAAGGCTACGGAGGCCGGCTTCCACACTTTTGTGTCGCTTTGTAAGTACATACTCCGGCAGCTTGCAGCTGATTTTGGTTTTCCTCGCTAATGTGTTTAGAAAATTATCTACATCAAAACAGTGAATAATAGTGACATTTTGATTGTTCCATGTCCATTTTAGCGGCATGTTATGAGTATATGTCATTTAGAGAACAAAACAGTGCATTTGCAGCCGCACGTAATCACTACGCCATAAATGTCACGTTTATTTGGAAGAAGGTCATATTGAAAAGGTAGTGCTTCTTAAGAAATAGAAGTAAAAGGAAACATTCTTGCCAAGTGAACAATAACTGTATATTACCCATGACTACTTTCCATGGCTGTATAATTAAGTAAAGCACCATTTCAATCAGAAAGAAAAAAAATGAGAAAATCGCCAGTAAACTGAAGTACTATTTTTTGGGAGAGATGTAGGCACGCGCTTTGGTTCTGTAGCGCTCACAGTGCTGTCACGAGAAGTTGTCGCAGAGTTAGTGGCGCTGGTTTTTTCCAGGGGTTTCCCCAGAAAACGAAATTACTGTAAGATCTCGTTAAATTGTATTTCATAGGACTAGAAAAGAATGTCCAAATCAACCGAATTTTGAATTATAGAGAGTTTTATGAAAACAATAAACCTTGTATTTTACGTCAAGAACATTTATTTTCTTGATGAACATGAAAATACAGTTAAGCCTGCCTATAACAAACCTCCACACAATGAATTTTTCAATATTATCATGTTTTTTTTCATTTCTCGCCATTACTCCATCACTGAACCCAAACACGTGCATTTGCGACCTCTGTATGAGAATGTGGCAGTGGGAGACATCCTTGATATAATGAAGTTGCACTACTGACAACCGAGGAATTTCACCCATTATTTTAGGAGCGAAGCTCCTTAAAGGGCCCTAAAACACTTTTCGTAGCATGGTCAGAAAACTCTGCCGATCGGTAGTAGAGTCTTCCGACAACACGTGAGCCAAATATTATAGCAAAGCATGTGGCCTGGAATTCACAATAAATTATCATAGTCAGCTAGAAATTGCTTTCTCTTCTCTCGTCAAATCACGCAATATGCCCGAAAACCACATGTAGTAAGCCCATCTATAAGCCATTGGCTAATTTGAACATGGCGCTCGCTCGTTACAGAGATCGGCACGGGTGGCTGCTACTTATCCACGTGTACGCGCGCAATCACACTGAAAAAGCCACACATTCGAAGAAAAAAAAAAGTGCTTAAGGTCACGAGGCATGTGTGACGTTTTTCTGTGGCCCTACCATTCCTCTCTGCTTAGCTTTCAGCGCTTTCGTCGGGACGGGAGAAGGGAGAATACAATTGCAGCACGCGAAACACCTTTGTATCTCCCCTCGCACTGGACGGATTCTTGAAATTTTTCTGGCGTTGAATTCATAAGGCAATAAGCTCTTCCAGTGAATTCATTCCATGGTTACTTGAAAAAGTGTTTCAGCCATCTCCCATCTCGCATCCCATGTGGCACGTACCCGCTCTAGAGCGGGTACTGCCACAGGGGATGCGAGATGGGAGATGGCAGTACTTGAAGTGTTCACTGGATGGATGCACGGATGGACGCATGGATAGACGGACGGACATGTAACGGACGGACAGAGACGGACTGTTCAACAGACACGCAGAGCGGGTATGTGCCACAAGGGATGCGAGATGGCGGTACTTTGAGTGTTCACTAAAACAACGCATGGACGGACGGATAGACAGACTAGAAGACAGACTGCCAGATGGACGGATGATGCGCCGAGGGATGGACACATGGACAGGCGGACAGACGCATAGATGGACGCACGGATGGTCGCACAAATAGACGGAAGCAAGAACAAATGGCCGGCCTTACAGACGCTTCACCCCACTCATCATCATTTCCTCCATAGATATGCTGTGATTTTTTTTTTTTTTTTCACTTTAGTACGAGTATGCATCTTCTGCGGTTGTCGCGCCGACGACAATTCGCAAACCAGCGGCATCGCACACGACCCATTCCTGGTGACTGCAAGACGAGAGTGAGCACTCGCTAGTGCATGAGGGTAGTGGCGCGATTTTCATTTCCTGCGGGCGTATGTACAGAATACCCCCATTCGTCTACTTTCAAACTGATTGATTTGTCGGGTTTAACATTCCAAAGCCAGCATTTGACTATGAGTGACACCGTAGTGGAGGGCTCCGAAAATTTCGACCACCCGGGGTTTTTTTAACGTGCATACAAATCTTAGCACATGGGCCCAAAGCATTTTCGCCTCCATTGAAAATCTAGCAGCCGTAGCCGGGATTCGATCCCGTGACCTGCAGGTCAGTAGCCGAGTGCCTTAGCCACTAGACCACCATGGCCGGGCCCCTCCTTTCAAACTGAAAACAAAAGAAAGATAATAACTTTCGATTGCAGTGGAAATTCTATGTTGTACATTTCAACGTCGTACGCATATGTGTGGTTTCACTGGGTGCGCATGGAGTGGCTCCGGACGACATTCAATACTGCAATTCTCTTTATGCGAGCAACCATGTTGTCACTACCAAGAAGATGTCAGATTAGGCGCTATTGCTGATACCACGGTGACAATGACGGGTCTTCGAAGGCCTACTAGTCACGCGCTTAGCCATTCTGCGTCGCAGGTTCCCTAGACCATGGCCTTCACTTTCAGCTCGGAGAAGGCAACAGCGTGTCTTTGAAGCCTATCTCAAAAGCCGTGCAGCGTTGTATTAATGAGCTATAAACGTTCAGTATTGATCGTTCCTTACAAACGAACAATGCCGCATTTACTCCTGTTCTCCTCGCACAATTCTCACATATCGGCCAACAAAAATAAGACTTTTTGTTCCTACGATATCATATTTACTTGAATAACCCTCACTTTTTTTTTTTTTGCAATTGGGGTACAGGGAACATGCGAAAATTGAGCGGGAAGAACAAAAAATAAAACAAAGCTGGTGAAAATATAGATTCTAACGCCAGCAACTGACTACAAGCTCTGGAATGTACTAATCAAGACCGACCTTAACAGTGAAACAACAGGTTCAACACAAAGCAAAATTTATTTGCATACACTACAACCACTAGCAAATAGTATCTAAAGGGTCTTCACAAGAAGGAACATGGCGTAATCAAGAAAAGCTGCTTCAACTTGTGCCAACTTTCCCCTGGAGAAAATTGTCCTACACTACAGAACCCCTCCGCAGCTCCTTGCCGAACGCTACTTTTTTCCCTCGAATGGCTGACGACGCCCTGTGCAACTAAACACACTTTCCACTGCTCATCGTCTGCAGAGCACTGCCCTAACATAATGTCTCAATAGGAGCCTTACTGACATGCTCTCCATGTAGGTTTGTACTGACCACTGCAACTTGGACACTACGTTCATTACTGTGTCACATTTGCCTAAAATTGCTCTCACAGTGTTGCTGGGTACTCTCTAGTTTTGCTTTTTGTTTGTTTTGCCTCATACCTACAGTACGTGTCAACACAATTCCATTAACCAGACAATGCTACCCATTGGAGTAGGCTCGAAAAGCAATAGCAAAGGCTTGCGAAGTTGCCTAATGACGACTAGAAAACTAGCAAGACAATCAGAGGTACATATGAGGACTTCATAAGCTGGGCCCCATGTTATCAGCTGTTGTAGTCATTACACTTAGAGTGACCAGGAAGCGATCTGGATTTGGTCACATATGATTGTTTCCCAAAATACATAATCAAGAAGCTACACATTGTCTTAAAGGCTGGTGCACACCGGTGACTAGCAGCGGTCGCGTGACCATTTGCGACTGGCGACCAAAAAGTGACTGATGTTCACACCGGCAGGGGCTGCATGCGAGCGACCGGAAGTCTCAAAAGCGGAGAGTCACGTCCGGATCTCGTTATCAGCGAGAGCTCTAGAGACCGGCGCTGATCAGCTAAGCACCGCCAACTGAGTGAGCGGAGCAAACCGGGCGTGCTGCATTTATTGTTTTCGTCCGTTCTCGCACAGCGTTCCCAACAGCGTCAAGTTCAATTCAAGCGAAGAACAAGACATTGTCATGGCGCTGATGCCCTGTGCCATGGTGTCAGCGCTGGCATCACAAATGCCTCCGAAGAAAAAAAAACTGGTAGTGGGTGTGACCGTCCTTTGGATCGCGGGAGTTGGCCGGTCATGCAAGCCGCCTGCCTCCCGAGCTGCGCTGAGACAACAAGGAGTATTCCGAGAGTCGTACGTATTCAGAAACGGTCCTTGAATTTAAATTGACTTGCCACAGCCTACAATACAGCACAAACATGTTCCAAACGCGCTGCATTGAAAGCGGTGAAATAAAGTTCAAGACAATAAAACGGTTCTGAATACGGGGAAGAGATAGTGCACAATTCATTTTCTCTTTACTTTGACGGTGTTTACCTTTTTGCGAATACCGCCACGTAAATTTGACACTTTGCTCGAGCTGCTGCGCTCCGCCATCTCCAAGCCAACTATTTCGTGGTGGCCATGGTGCCATGGACCCAGAGGAACGCACTCGTTTGTATCTGGCGGCAGGAAGCCAGCGCAATGAAAAAGCAAAAGAACAAAAATTGAGCATCGCTGATAGGTTCAAGCAGCTTTGCGACTGCAGTCGTGCGACTGAAAAATCAGTCAGGTAGTGACTAGCCAAAGCAGCCGCTTTGCGACCGTTTGCTACCGTTCGCGACTGTTTGCGACCAGTCGCAAATGGTCGTACGACCACTGCTAGTCGCCGGTGTGCACCAGCCTTTATAATAACCTATTGTTTAGGCTTAGAAGTGTGAACTGTTGGGGTGTTGGTAAAAGATGTTTTCGCTTTAAAGGATGAAAAACACAACATAACACACTGGTGAAAACCAAAGTTTTCGTTTATGTGTTACATCGTCAGGTTGTCGATTTTTAAAGCCAATACATTGTTTGGCCTCCCAACTACACTGACGCAATTTCTTGTTTCAATTTGGATAGGCATGCAAATAAATAGACAGGCCCACAGATCACTGTCAGAGATGATGCGCAAGAAAGCTGGTCTGCTGCACTCACCTGAGAAGGCGGGTCTGCTGGCGCTTGCGAATGGAAGGGTTTGTTTCAAAGGTGTGCGGCCGCTTGCGTTTCTTTCCTGTGGCTATGGCTGCAGCTGCAGCTACCCCAATAGGACCTGGGAAAAGACCAGCCGTAGTGTAGTCGACCGCTAAGCACCCGGAAAAAAGCCATGGTGTTCGCCATAATTATGCCTCAACTGGCTGAAGATTCCTCTCTGGTCGCGTCAGGTTAAAGGGAAACAGTGAAGCTACTTGGGCTAGTTGATAGTATTGTATTTTTAAAAAGATACCCTCTTTTGTGTGCAAAATGTTTCGAGAAAAAAATTGAGAAAGGACAGAGTGCACACTTACTTGCCCATCTGAAACCCGCGATAACCAAATCCGGAGGGAGCGAAATTCTCACTTCAACTAGATATTTTCAGAGAACCAACAAACACCCACTGCAGTCAATGCATTTCGTAACTCAGGACTACAAAACATACTTTAACCGCCGTCTCTCATTAACAAAACTTTTGAAACGGGAGTGGTGCACAAGTAATTCACCCTCGTAACATTAACTGCATTCTGAAACTGCTCAAATGTCTTTGGAGTACACTTAAATTGCACAAAAATATGGCCACAACGTGCGTTTGAGCAGCTTAACCATCGTTAATTACAAAGCTGCTGCTGCTGCTGATGATAGTTTGCCGATCAGTACAGGTGACTGCTCAGCGTACGACCAAACCAAAAATGCATTTAATTAGCAGTAATAACCACATTTCAAAAAATAATCCCAAAGATCTGAAGCGACTTTGCAGTGGGCACGTGTAAACATTTTGAAGGTGCACTGAACAGGCTCCAACTGTTTTTTTTACACTCTCCAAACAAGATTGCAAATTCGTACTGTAGACGGCGGCGACCAGATCCCGCGCCAGTTTCCCGCGGCTAACCAGTCCTCCTTGTACACACACCACTAAGCTCATCGACTGGTTGTTTTCCCTACGAAATAGCACCTGCAGCCCTGCAGAAATGCAGTTTCAGCGGGCAAAACGAAAGCTTCCGATATAAAGAGGTGTCAAACTACTTTACTGCGAGAAAGAAAGTGATCCTCACTCTGTGTTTGCTGCCCGAGCCTCTGTGACATGTACTGATGTGAGAGAAGCCTCGGTCGGTCAACGGCTACGTGGATCACGTATCACAGATGTAGGGTTGCCACTGGTGGTTACTTCTCGTCAAATTGAATTTGAGAGGCTCCTGGCGAGCTGAAATTCTGAATGGCGACATGGCGAAATTTTGGCGACTTTCGAATGAGGTCTCGAAGGAGTTATGCATTCTATACTCAGTATCTTTGAAACGACTTAGCAACAACATATTGTTACGGGGAAGATTTATTCACCGAGAGCTGGTCTTGCTAACGGTTTAGAGAGCGCACAGTCATGCAGGCCAAGGGGGGAAGCTCGAGAGTCCAACCCACTACAACCACGTTGTCGTCTTCTTCATTTGGGTGCCAATTCAGCTGTGTCGGGGACGACAGTTCCATACACGTATCATCACCCCGGCCCGTAAGGCACCATCTCGGTGCCTGTTAAATGAGCGAGTCGGTGTTGTAGGGCTTGAGACGAGAAACGGTGGACTACTTTCATTCTGGGTGCAGCAGCTGATGAGTTTGTGGTAGCGGCGATCTCGTAGGTCACAGGTGTGACCTGACGAATGACTCGGTAGGGTCCAGCGTATCGCGATAGTAGTTTCTCGCAGAGGCCAACACGTCGAGATGGGAGCCACAGGAGAACGAGAGATCCCGCAGAAAAAACGGCATCTCTATGTCGACGGTCCTAAAGGGACTTCTGTGCTGTCTGCGACGACGATAACCGAGCGCGCGCTACCGCGCGTGCCCGCGTGCCGTGAGGGCCCAAGTGATCGCATCGTGAGCGTACGAAGTGGAGGATGGGTGGTCTGATAAAAGCAGTATGTCGAAGGGCAGTAAGGGATGATGTCCGAAGAGTAGATAAAAAGGGGAGTAGCCCGCTGTTTCATGACGCGACGAGTTATAGGCGAAGGTTACAAACGGAAGAGCTATGTCCCAATCAGTGTGGTCGGTAGATACGTACATGGCAAGCATGTCTGTCAATGTGCCGTTTAGGCGCCCCGTAAGGCCTGAGGGTGGTAAGATGTGGTGAAATTGTGACGGGTAGCACAAATCGGAGTAGATGATCAACCACACGAGATAGAAAGTAGCGACCACGGTCTGTGAGCAGGTGAGACGGAGCGCCATGCTGGAGAATAATGTCGTACAGCAGGAAGTCGGCAACGTCGGTTGCGCAGCTTGTTGGTAGCGCTCGAGTGATTGCATACCGAGTGGCATAGTCTGTGGCCACTGCAATCTATTTATGTCTGTGGCCACTGCAATCTATTTATTTTCAGTTGTAGAAGTAAGAAAGGGACCTAGCAAGTCCAACCCCACTCGATAAAATGGCTCGGCTGGAACTTCAATAGGTTGAAGAAGACCGGCAGGTGAAGTCGTAGGCTTCTTTCGGCGCTGGCAGAGGTCGCATGATGCGACGTAACGGCGAACAGAGCGGCAGAGGCCCTTCCAGAATACTCGTCGTCGAATGCAGTCGTAAGTTCTGGAGACTCCTAGATGTCCAGAAGTTGGAGCGCCGTGATATTGTCGCAGAACATCCTTTCGCAGGTGATGCGGTACGACGAGTAAAAGTTCCGTGCCGTCGGGGTGTAAGTTGCGGCGGTACAAAACGTCTTGAAGTAGGTATCTGCTAAGAGAAGGGTCAGCATAACGCAATTGAAGGTGGTCAATGATGGTGAGCAGCGATGGATCTCGGCTCTGTTCGTCGTCCACCTTCAGAAAGTCAGTGATGGCTAAAACGCAGGCATCGGATTCCAATTCAGTGGAACTAGGTGGATCAACGGGGTGCCGGGATAAGCAGTCAGCATCACTGTGCAGCTTTCCAGATTTGTAAACAACCGAGAACGTGTACTCCTGTAATCGAAGTGCCCATCGGCCGAGTCTTCCTGTAGGGTCCTTAAGCGTCGACAGCCAGCAAAGCGCATGATGGTCCGTGATGACTGCGAACGGACGTCCGTATAAGTACGGACGGAATTTCGCAATAGCCCAAACGAGGGCTAAGCATTCCCGCTCAGTGATGGAATAATTTTGTTCCGCTTATGACAAAAGGTGGCGAGCGTAGGCTATCACACGGTTGGTGCCATTCTGTATCTGAACGAGTACAGCACCAATGCCATGGCCGCTTGCATCGGTGCGAAGCTCTGTTCGAGTCGCTGGATCAAAATGAGCCAACACAGGTGGTGATGTGAGGGCGGTAATTAGCGACGCGAAGGAATGTTCTTGGTCCCTTCCCCAAGAAAAGGCCACAATCTTTTTGAGGAGATCCGTGAGGGGCCTTGCAATATCCGCGAAGTTGAAGACAAAGCGGCAGAAGTATGAGCAGAGCCCAATAAAACTGCAAACTTCTTGTGTGGAACGCGGAACCAGGAATTCTCGGACTGCACGTACTTTGTCAGGGTCGGGTTGAACACCAGTGGCGTCAACAAGGTGGCCGAGTAGTTTAATCTGCCGGCGTCCAAATGAGCACTCTGACGAATTCAGTTGGAGACCAGTGGAACGAAGAACGTCAAAAATTGCCGAGAGACGAGACAAGTGGCTTTCGAAGGAGGGCGAGAAAACGATTACATCATTCAGAGAGCAAAGGTAGGTCGACCATTTGAAACCGCGAAGAAGAGAGTCCATTATACGCTCAAAAGTAGCCGGGGCATTGCACAACCCAAAAGGCATGACCTTGAATTGGTAAAGGCCGTCGGGTGTGATGAATGCTGTCTTCTCGCGGTCGTCGACCGAAATTTGCCAATATCCGCATCGAAGGTCGAGGGACAAAAATAGTTGGCGCCGTGGAGGCAGTCGAGCGCATCATCCGGGGTAAAGGGGTAAACGTCCTTCTTGGTGATCCGATTCAGGTGGCGATAGTCGACACAAAAGTGCCAGGTGTTGTCCTTCTTTTTAACTAAGACCACAGGGGATGCCCAAGGACTCGATGAAGGCTCAATGACATCTTTACTCAGCATTTTCTCGACCTCCATCTGTATAACTTGGCGCTCAGCACGTGACACGCGATAAGGGTGTTTGTGGAGTGGACTGGCGTCGCCGGTGTCGATGCGGTGGGTTACGGCACTTGTGCGGCCCAGGGGACGGTCGTCGACGTCAAAGATATCCAGGTAAGAAAATAGAACACCCCGGAGCGCTGCAACTTGGGAAGGTAAGAGGTCGCTGGATATCATTTTGTCGAGGAACGCCTTATATAGCGACATGATGACAGGTTTCGCCATGGTCTTAGTGTCAGGGGTAAAAGAACAAATCGAACATTCATCAAGGGTGGAAAGATCGGCTAAAGTGACGCCTTGGGGAAGAAGTTGGGTCGACGTAGAGACGCCTTGGGGAAGAAGTTGGGTCGACGTAGAGAAGTTCAGAACTGGAAGTAGCATCGTGTTGTTAGCAACAACCACTATAGTATGTGGTAGTGCGATGTGGTGCGTAAGGGTCAAATCAATGAGGGGAGCCACCAGATAGTCTCCATCAGGAACGGACGGGAAGGGCGACAGAGAAATGTGCATAGCAGCCTGGGGTGATAGCCGTAGAGACTCCACGGATCGTAGCCGAGTGCGACTTGGAGGAGTGAAATCGGTGCACAAAGGCAATTCGAGCCGTAAGATACCGGTAGAACAATCGATGAGGGCGGAGTGGGCGGTTAAGAAGTCAATTCCAAGTATGACATCGTGTGGGCAAGCATCGAGGACTGCGAAGAGAACAGAAGCGTGGTGGCCAGCAACAGTAACCCGGGCAGTGCACATACCAAGCACCGATGTTCGACTTCCGTTGGCAACTCGAACAGTAGAGAACATAGCCGGTGTGAGAACCTTTTTCAGGCGAGCTCGAAGTGTAGAACTCATAACAGATACTTGGGCACCAGTGTCAATTAGAGCAGTAACGGCATGGCCATCAACGAACACCCGACGTAAATTGCGTCTAGAATTTGTAGCCGGTTGAGGGTTTTGTTCCAAGTCGTCAACGCAGCGCCACCTCCAGGAGCTGCACTCGTCAGTTTCCCGG